TTTCGGCCCCCCGTGCGTTTCCTCATAATTCGGCTTTGGGCCCGACGCCAAGTTAGATACCCAACTCTGCTAAACCAGCGTCTCGCTCGAGACATCCTCAACAAATTCTGAACATGATGGACCCACGAACCCGGAAAGGGATATAGACATGTGGAGCATGGGCACGTTTTCACGATACCCAACGGGGCAACACCTCACGAAACATCCCACGAGACACCTCACGAAACATCCCACGAGACACCTCACGAAACATTCCGCGAGACACCTCACGAAACATTCCAGGAGACACCCCGCGAAACATTCCACGAGACACCCCACGAAACATTCCACGACGACAGGCAACCACTCAACCAAGGCGGTGTGGTCGTGCTGGGGAGTGGTCGTGCTGGGGAGTGGTCGTGCTGGGGGGTGGTCGTGCTGGGGGTGGTCGTGCTGGGGGGGTGGTCGTGCTGGGGGGTGGTTGTGCGTGCTGGGGCGTGGTCGTGCTGGGGCGTGGTCGTGCTGGGGCGTGGTCGTGCTGGGGTGTGGTCGTGCTGTGGTGAGGTCGTGCTGGGGTGTGGTCGTGCTGGGGTGTGGTCTTGCTAGGGTGTGGTCGTGCTGGGGTGTGGTCGTGCTGGGGTGTGGTCGTGCTGGGTGGGGTCGTGCTGGGGTGGGGTCGTGCTGGGGTGTGGTCGTGCTGGGGTGTGGTCGTGCTGGGGTGTGGTCGTGCTAGGGTGGGGTCGTGCTGGGGTGGGGTCGTGCTGGGGTGTGGTCGTGCTGGGGTGTGGTCGTGCTGGGGTGTGGTCGTGCTGGGGCGTGGTCGTGCTGGGGTGGGGTCGTGCTGGGGTGGGGTCGTGCTGGGGTGGGGTCGTGCTGGGGTGGTCCGCACCTTGTGATTCATCGATCGGGTCGTGCTGGGGTGTGGTCGTGGTGGGGTGTGATCGTGGTGGGGTGTGGTCGTGTTGGGGTGTGGTCGTGCTGGGGTGTGGTCGTGCTGGGGCGTGGTCGTGCTGGGGCGTGGTCGTGCTGGGGCGTGGTCGTGCTGGGGTGTGGTCGTGCTGGGGTGTGGTCGTGCTGAGGTGTCCCGCACCCTGTGATTTATCGATCGGGATTTCAAAAACAAGCGTTTCGCCTGAGACATCCTCAAATTTTAATCCGCCGGCCTCCTTCGACCTCGATATTTATCAGGGAAAGAATCCGCCGGCCTCCTTCAAGTTGGGCACGGGGGACTATGTTTACATACTAAAAGAGAACCCTGGGCCTGAGCCCTTTCCGGGAAAAACAAGCGTTTCGCGCGAGACACCCCCCACCTCTGCAAAACCAGCGTTTCGCTCGACATCCTCAACAAATTCTGAAAAACAAGTGTTTCGCTCGAAACATCCTCAAACATAATTCCGCCGGCCTCGTCATTTATCGCAAAATAATTCAGCCGACCTCCTTCAAGTCGGAATCGGGTGTAAACATCTAACATGATGGACCCACGAACCCGGAAAGGGATATAGACATGTGGAGCATGGACACGTTTTCATGATACCCAACTGGGCAACACCTCACGAAACATCCCACGAGACACCTCACGAAACAGCCCACGAGACACCTCACGAACTTCCACGAGACACCTCACGAACATTTTCACGAAGACACCCCGCAAACATTCCACGAGACAACCCCACTAACATTCCACGACGACAGGGCAACCACTCAACCAAGGCGTTGTGGTCGTGTGGGGAGTGGTGGGTGCTGGGTTGTGTCGTGCTGGGGTGGTCGTGCTGGGGGGTGGTCGTGCTGGGGGGGGGTGGGTCGTGCGGGGTGTGGTCGTGCTGGGGCGTGGTCGTGCTGGGGCGTGGGTGTGCTGGGCGTGGTCGTGCTGGGGGCGTGGTCGGTGTGTTTTTGGTCTGGGGGCTGGTCGTGCTGGGGTGTGGGTTCGTGCTTGGTAAGGTCGGCTGGGTGCGGTCGTGGCTGGGGTTTGGTCTTTGCTGGGGTGGGGTCGTGCTGGGTGGTGATCGTGCTTGGCTTGTGATCGTGCTTGGGTGGGGGTCGTGCTGGGGTGGGGGGTGGGGGGGTCGTGCTGGGGCGTGATCGTGCTGGGGTGTGGTCGTGCTGTGGTGAGGTCGTGCTGGGGTGTGGTCGTGCGGGGGTGTGGTCTTGCTGGGGTGGGGCCGTGCTGGGGTGGGGTCGTGCTGGGGTGGGGTCCTGCTGGGGTGTGGTCGTGCTGGGGTGTGGTCGTGCTGGGGTGGGGTCGTGCTGGGGTGGGGTCGTGCTGGGGTGTGGTCGTTCTGGGGTGTGATCGTGCTGGGGTGTGTTCGTGCTAGGGTGGGGTCGTGCTGGGGTGGGGTCGTGCTGGGGTGTGGTCGTGCTGGGGAGTGGTCGTGCTGGGGTGTGGTCGTGCTGGGGGGTGGTCGTGCTGGGGGGTGGTCGTGCTGGGGGGCTGGTCGTGCTAGGGGGTGGTCGTGCTGGGGCGTGGTCGTGCTGGGGCGTGGTCGTGCTGGGGCGTGGTCGTGCTGGGGTGTGGTCGTGCTGTGGTGAGGTCGTGCTGGGGTGTGGTCGTGCTGGGGTGTGGTCTTGCTGGGGTAGGGTCGTGCTGGGGTCGGGTCGTGCTGGGGTGTGGTCGTGCTGGGGTCTGGTCGTGCTGGGGTGGGGTCGTGCTGGGGTGGGGTCGTGCTGGGGTCTGGTCGTGCTGGGGTGTGGTCGTGCTGGGGTATGGTCGTGCTAGGGTGGGGTCGTGCATTTCGCTCGAGACATCCTGCCAAAATTCCAGGAAATCGTACAAAAACAAACGAATTAGTCGAGACATCATCGAATTTCCTTCGCGCGGGGCGCTTTTCCGCGTCGCGGTCGGCTCTGCAAAACAAGCGTTTCGCTCGAGACATCCTCGGCAAACTCTGCGGAGCAAGCGTTTCGCTCGAGACATCCTCAACACACGAAAAAGTGGCCCGCACCCTGTGATTTATCGATCGGGATTTAAAAACAAGCGTTTCGCTCGAGACATCCTCAAATTTTAATTCGCCGGCCTCCTTCGACCTCGTTATTTATCAGGGAAAAAATTCGCCGGCCTCCCTCAAGTTGGCACCGGGGGACAGGTTTACCTACTAAAAGAGAACCCTGGGCCTGAGCCCTTTCCGGGAAAAAAGAACCCTGGGCCTACGCCCTTTCCGGGAAAATACATGATATTCGCGCCCCCGAAACCATAATCCCTTGTAAATTACACCAGATTCGCGTCCCCGAGGCCATAAAACCTAACAAACCCGTGCAAATTACCCTATATTCGCGTCCCCGTTGACATAAACCCTTGCAAATTAAACCAGATTTGCCACCCCGAGACCAGAAACCCTTGTAAATATACAGCATGTGCGTCCCCGAGGCAACAAACCCTTGTAAATCCCACCAGCCCTCTGGGCGCAGGCGGTCTAGAGCGTTTCCTTTTCCAACCTCCTGCCTTTCCCTGCTCGGGAGGTTTACCTCCCCCCCACCTCCCTGCGTCTGGACGGGCTCCCCCGCGATGTGGCAGAGGGTCCTTTTTGGTCCAAGATGGCTCCAAGAGGGCTTCAGAGAGCACAAAATGGCCTCCAAGATGGTCGAAGATAGCGGTAGATGGGCCAAGATAGCCTCCGACACACGTCCAAGAGTCCTCAAGAAGGCCCCAAGACGGTTACAAGTGCCCTCCGAGGCCTCCAAGGACACCCCGAGAGGCCAGAATCTTTCAAAGACCTAAGGAAAATCCGTGTGTTTTGCCTTCTCGTTTTTTTTGTTCGCCTCCGATGGGCTCTTGAGGCCTCAAGATGGCCCCAAGACGGCCCAGGATAACCCCAAGAGGGGTCCAAGAGGGCCCCAAGACGGCCCCAAGAGCGCCCAAGAGCGCTCAAAGAGCGGCTCAAGAGGGCCCCTAGACGGGATTGTTGAGCCTCCGAGGGGGCGATGGGAATCGGAACCCCCATCTTTTTCAGCGAATGGGTCCAAGACGGCCCCAAGAGGCCCCTCAGGCATCCCAAAAGAGCCCCAAGAAGGCCCCCAGACCCCCAAAATGAGCGCCAAGAGAGCCCCAAGACGCCCCAAAAGAGCCCCAAGAGGGCTTCAAGAAGGCCCTAAGAGGACCTCAAGAGAGCCCCAAGAAAGAGCTCCAGGAGGGCCCCAATAGGGCCCCAAGAGAACCCCAAGAGAGCCCCAAGAGAGCTCCAAGTTTCGAAACGCACGCGAGTTTAAGATACAAATCAGTGCAACAGCCATTACGAGTCATCAAAACACCCCTCACCCCTCACCCCTCATCGAAGCAGCATCGTAGCTTGCACTGATTTCCACCTGAAATTTCAATGCGGGAAGCTCTTTGTGATCCTTGTTTTGCCGAAGACGGCTGCGCAACTGCATGCGCTGCCGCCCCTGATTCACCGACTCCCCTGCTGATCGCTTCTGGATGGGCTGGTGAGGACATTCGCGTCCCCGAAGCCATAAACCATTGTAAAGTACATCATATTCGCGCCACCGAAGCCAGAAAACCTCGTAAAATAATATTTGTCCTCGCGTGAAGTCCCGACATTGCTTCACGTCAGCGTCCAGACATGCCAACACAGCTCTGTCAAGTCCTATTCTAAGAGATGGGGGCCGGCGGCATGGGGGCGAAATCCTTACGGATAACTCATAGACATACACTTTCGAAGCTTAAATGTCTTGGATCTGCACTGGAACCCCCGTCCCTGGCGCGCGGAGCGTTCCAGGGACGGCGCCGGAGGCGCCGCCAGGGGGGCCCAGCAATGATCCAAGAAATCCGCGTGGACCTCCGAGAAAGTATGTTTGCCGTTTGTGCGTGCGATTCGTAGCCTGGGCTCCACTGGCCGATTTACCTCCCTGGACGGGGGGATACGATAGGCTGTTCCCTTCGGGTTTCGAGGGACAGAACCCCAACTGGGGCGGTGGGATGGTGGGGCTCGGGATGGAGATGGGGATTGTAGTTGGGATCGGTTGAATGGTACTGACCTCCCTCCTCGTCCTTCTTCTCCTGAAGCGCCCTTTGCTCTCGCAGCACCGACCTTGGCGAAGGACACCTTCCTGCCGGACAGTGAGAGCATGATCAGGTCCAGCTTGGTGCGGTCCTGCGGGGCTGCCCGCGAGCAGCCTGGCGGCCTTCCGTGAAGCCGAAGCCCAGTAGTGGGAGGGAGGCAGAGAGAGGAGGGAAGATGAAGGGCAACGATAGGGGGGGGGGGACAGACAAAGGGGGGGGGAACGTCGACCTAGAATCGGAGCTACGTCGCCGATAAATCAGCATTAGGCCTCTGATAGCGAGACCGCACGCTGCTGGGCTGAGTGGCCTATCGGGCCCCTATCGTTGATCAATTGGTAATTGTGGGCGATCGGGGGTGGATGCATCCCCCCTGAGACGATCCCCCACGATCGCTGCCCCGGACACGAGGGAGGAGGGAGAAGAGAGGTCAGCTTGCTTGGTCCTTGTGGGGACTCCTGGGGAGCTCTGGTCGCCACTGCCAAATCCACCCCGAGGTCCTGGCCAGAACGCGCTCCGGGAGACGACCAGGGGCAGATCTAATAGATGACGAGGTACAAAGGGGAGGATGAGGCGGAGGAGGACGAGGGGTGGGAGAGGCTACGAACGACGATTTCTCAAGCCACCAGGAGCCAGGAACAAGGAGGCGTGGAGTCGAGTGGAGTGGACGCCACCACCAGGAAAGGATCAGGGATCAACAGTGACCACAAGCTCGAGCTGCCTGCCGAGCTCGGCGGCGGAGGGGGCGGTCTGAGAGTTGCACGGGTTTGGTGGGAGGGTTCTTCGAGGATTTTCGGAGGTGATTGCTCGCTTGCTTTTTGTGGTGCCTTTTTTTTCTGCCGGCGCGTGGTCCACCAGCGCTCTGCGGTTCAAAGAGGCCACGCCCGCATGGGGCCTTCTGCAAAAACAACCGGAGCGTGCGATGGCGGCATGAATCGAAAGAAGCTGTCGCAAGCAACTCACAAACAAGAATTACCGCTTCCGACATCTTCCTGGCGACCACCTCAAGAGCCCTGATGATCAATGAACATCGCCAGAGGCTGAGAGGAAATGCACGAACACCGCAGACGCGTGGGAGGCAAACAGGAACAGAGAAGGAATCTCCTTGCTGGAGCAGGAGAAGGAGGGCAATGGAGCACGTGCGGTCAGGAAAGAGGGGGTGTCAGGAGGGGGAGGCCTCTGGTTTGCAGTCTTGAAACCAGATGCACGCGCTGTCACGCCGGCGGGCGGAGCACGTGCGATCACACAGAGGCGGCGGGGTCAGCAGGGGGATGCATATGTCCAGCACGTACGCCGTCTTGTAAGAAGCAGCGGGCGCTCTCGAGCTGGTTTCTTTCCCTCTTCACCCCGCTCAAGCAACGTGGTCCGCTGGCGGAGAAGCAAATTAGCAAAGTGTGCAATCGAGCTGACTACTGCCTCCGACCTCCGACCCCGCCTCGAGGACATC